GGGGGAGCCGGTCATTCCTAGGAACAAAGACTGCCAACACAGCCAGAAAGGAAAACACACACACTCAAACCAGAATCTGGAGCGTGGCAATCCCATCTTTGCCTCTGCTGTTATCCTTGCAAGTTTTTGTCAAGTTCTGAGCCATTTTCACCTTGAGAATATCCCTCCCCATTTTCAAGCAGTCTCAGGCATACATTTTCTCCTCCAACCTTCCACTTTTATCCACTCCAACTGTCTCACTTTCTGCTTTCCTTTGGCCCAAGTATTCAACATAAAACTTGTTCTATCCCAGCCTGTAAAATAAATTACTTCCAAACCGGGGGGGGGGGGGGGGGGGGAGAGAAAGACTCCTACTCTCAGAAGAATAAATGGCAGAACAGGTTACCCATAATCACCATCTCTGTTGCTCACTGGGTAGCTCTTTTTAACCGAGGCAACAACCAGGATTTCTCACTTTTCTTTTTGTTTGCAACTACCAGATTACGAGGGACTGAGCCCCGATATCTCATGGTACCCATTTTGCAGGCAAGGAAACGAAGGCAGTTCACCCTCTCTTCTGCAGAGCTTTCTAATTATACACATTACTGTATTATTACAGTGGCAAAGATAATGGTTTTCTCCAGGTTTGGTGCATTTGGGGTCATCCTCCATCTAGTTCAAAGCAAAGGCTGGACAGGACCATGACAGTCCTATGGAAGAGCAGAACTGGTGAGCCGTTCACAAAAATGCAAAACAGGATGGCAGACACTTATCATCACTGTGCCCTTCCCTGAAGAAGTTTTCTCAGCTGAGCTGTTCCCATTCATTTGGGTTAGCAGCACAGCACTAATTAGAAATTAAGCACGGGAGGTTTCCATTCAGAGCTAAATCACAGCCTTGCAAGTTCGGAGGAACAAAGTCTTCTCTCCCTGCTTCGGGGCTGGATCTTTTGGGGAGCCAGGGGGACAGGACTTCCAAGCGGGGTCCAATGGCCCTTGGACCTGAGAAACCACAATTAGCCAAGAGTAAGATCTTCCCAGTTGCAGAGGAGCCGGAAAGACCTGTTTCGGCCCCCATGCTTCACCATGACCTAACGAAGCCTGGTTTCCTAAGGAACCCCAGTGGCTGTGTTCACACCACCCGCGAAGCCCGAACCCAGCCAGGTCCGTCTCGGCGCGCCCTCGGAACCCGAAGGCGCAGCACTCGGACCGCAGGCTCTGCGCTGCCCCAGGGCTGGGTGAAGACCCGCGGACTGAGCCACGAGGGCTTGGTTTCACGCTCCGGGTGGGGCGCGAAGGCAGCCAGGA